AAAGAGTGTTACTCACATTCCTCATATATTGAACATTTTCTTAAATTTCTTAGTTTTGGATATAAATCTATCAACATAATACACTTTAATCTTCGAAGAATTACCCCAAAGGAAACTACTTGTCACCTATTTTCCCCCTAAATAATCCAACCTATAGTATCCTTGTCCAAGACCAACTCTCATAATAATTCAAAGTGTTAAATTGATGAATTAAAATGATTTTTTTTTTCTCTCAAGGCTCCCTTAAGCTAGAGCCCCTAGGACTTGGAGTCTAGCTAATGCACATACCCACTTTACCAAATACTAAAATTTAATTTTTAATAATAAATAATGGGAACGGCAAGATCAAACTCTTGAATAGTTAAAAGGCTTAAATACTATGCTAAGAACCAATTCATTCTAACAGCTAAAATTGTTAGGGAACGATTTTAATTCTGCAGACTTGTAAGAACAATGCTCCATTGATGATGTTTTCATTGTTTTGTACCTGCAAGTTACATTAGTAACTTGGCTTTTCTATATTCACAATAAAAGGTAATTATACATCATGTTGGAGACCTAGAAAAACTTTTAATAGAATAGTTTAAACTCTTCCCGGGTTTAAGATTGAACACAGGTCAAACAGTGTGACAGAAGAGAAAATAATTCCATGAATAACCAAAAACCAAACAGATATTAAAGAGGTTCACATGTCAATATTAGATCAAGAAATTTCTTAACATGGTAGCTCAACAGATCATAAAAATGAAAGAGGTTCACATGTTATTAAAATATCAAACAGTGCGGCAGAAGAGAAAATAATTAAGTGAATCACTAAACATCAGATAGAGAATAAGAGGTTCACATATCAACATTAGATAAAGAAACTTCTTAACATGGTAGTTTACCAAATCATAAAAATAAAAAAGGTTGATGTCATAATTATATAAATCAATCCAGCAAGAAAATTGACCTTTTTTCGTGCATTAATATGCAGGTCACTGTAGCCTGATCTCCCATGCATACTATCAATATCATTAGAAATAATCTTAAAAGAATTAGTGGATCCTCCACAGAAGTAACATTGCGCAAAGCTTGGCTTACATGTTGGTTGCACTGAACCACAACCAGAACTGAGCATCTTACACATATATTCTGCATCATCCTGGGGGGAAAAGATTAAAAGAAACAAAAGTTTAAATAGCAGTCATGCAACAGAGAGAAGAAAAAGAATACTAAAAGTTTATATTATTTTAAAAAAAACTCTAATGATCATAAGTGATATATAAAACTATGATCACAAAAGAAATAGGAAGTCTTTCGTACTTGTACTTCTGGAATCATAAATAAAAGCCCAATTAACCCCCTTAAATAGGGAATGACACCGTAGATATTAAATCCCACTAACATGGTACAAATGAAATCCAATAACTGACCATGATACTTATTCAGGAACTGAAGCCAGTCAAGGACCTTAGATTCTATTAGATATAAAATAACTCATCATAAGCCTTCATTTGATAATTTAAGTTTTTTAGAGCATTGGTTCTTAACATACAGTGCCATAACCTCTAAAACCAAGTGGTCATAATCGCTGCCTACTCTTCTAAACAAAAGCAGAATTTAAGCAGAAGGTATGATAGATTTATGCATTATCCACACTTCTAAATTTAAAGGACTCTTGTGTGAGGGGGGCATGTTAGATATAAAATCACTCATAAGTCTTAACCAAATAGTTTAATCACTTGAAAGAGTTGATTTTTGATAGTTTTATACAAAAGAGATTTACTAATTATTTTGCATTGCATTGAAAGGCATTGATACATAGAGAAGGATTTGATGATAATTTTGCCATGTCACAAAGGACACCAAAATGAAAAGTGAGGCATATATCAAAATGTTTAGAAAGCAATTAGGAAATTATGTCAACTAAATAAAATTCCTTGGGTTTGCATGATTCCTTCAAAGAAAAAACAAAGTACAACAATAAAGTTCCATACCAAACAACCTAATAAAGACCAGAAAACTAATTAGAAAATGAAAGAAAAGCAGACACTTATTTCTATAATGTGCCCACATATAAATTTGTCTTCCTTGAACCAAATAACCAAATTCCTGTCCTATCGCATATACACATTGACTGGTTTGAAAATATGTAGGTGTGAGAGTACATAAACAAATTAATAAAGATAGAGACAAAAATTACATAAATATTAATTTGGAAGAAAATAAAATATAACATGATATCCTAATCACAATAAAGATATAAATATTTGAAGAAGCTAAGAGGCAGACCTTCAGTTTTTGAACTGCACCAGACTTGTACACTATTTGGTGTGACAAATATGTTGATGAGTGGTAAAATGAGAAAAACTTTTTCACTGTATCACAGTATGATTGTTCTGGAGACCATGGTATTCCTCGGACAAGAATTGCAAAATGACTAGGATTTGGTGGTGATGCAGTAATATGTGTTAGCCGCAAATTACTGATGCTCTTGTATTCCTAGATATTATTGCCACTTGATTAGTCATATTTAAAAGTGCAACAGTAAAACAAAAGCTATTAGGTCACTCTGAAAACAGGCAGAGAAATTAATCATGCAGGTGAACACAGCTCCTTACACGGTAAAGAAGAGAACAAGCTGTTAACGTTATGATGTATAACGCGAGACAATGAGCCCAAAGCCTGAAATCAAGCAATAGAATAAATAGAACCTTTACGTAACCAATTTGTAGGAGTATTCCTGATTAAAATCATCACCTATCCATGCATTAACATCTAAAATGGAGTGAAAAAATGTAATCTATACTAATATTATACCCCTTTTAATAACCACCTTTGGTCTCCACATTTAGTAGACCATTATGTCCTTTTATTATTAAAAAAAAATCAAAAAAAAATATTTCTTTTAATAAATACTATTCTCTTTTAATAACTACTCACTCTACTATTTTTATTACTTAACTATTTTTGTTACTTAATCTCAAATTTTATTTTATTTTAAAATAATATATAGAGGCATAGAATGTCTCAATCAGTAGTAAGAATGATTCCTATCCGGCCAATATCATATCCAGTTTCTGACTTTCTGTTGGGAGAAAAAGTTAAGCTCTCCCAACTTAACAATATTACTTAATTGCACTTCTAACCCTTTTTAATTTAGACAGTGAGTAATTTCCAATTTTGAGCCAATTAAACTTTTTTATTTAAAAATTAATTAACTTTACAATTATTTTCAATTTTTTTTATCTAAATTTCTCAAATTATTACTTTCTATCTAATATTTAAGGATCTAATATCTCAAATTATAATTAAAAAAAAAAGTTTTAAAATAAAATTTTAGTGCAATTTTGGTAAAGCTAAAAGCTTTGATAAGATATATGAAATCATGATTTCAATGAGGAATTTTGAGATTCTTTTTTTAATTTTGAGTAAAAGTTAATATTTTGGTTAATAGATTTTGAACAAAAGAATATTTAAAGCAATTTAATCGATTCAATTTTTAAAAAAATGAGTAGAAAATAGGAATTTGAAGTTTTAAAGTAAATAAATTTAAAACTGGTTAAATTTTTTTTAAAAATACTTAATTAGTTTAAAATAATAAAATATTAAAATCATGTGTAATTCAAATTAAGGGAAAAAAATATGAAAATCATGGACTGGACAGATCCAAATATTTTAGAGCATTGTTCATTCTTGCTATAAAATATCAAGAAACCTCTTCATATTTTCTATTGCTTATTCATTGTTTTCTCAGCTTGTTACTGCCTATTTGAACTAAACAGACATGTTGAAAATTTTTAGAAAGAGGATACGGTTCTTACCACCTGGATCCTTCTTTAACATTCTCAATGGTGAATACTTCGAGTGACTCAAAAGGTATATTCTTATGTATTCTGTCCTGACCATAATAATTCACTGGAAGCACTAGAACAATACAGATAACAGCAGCAACAGAAAAAACTCGAATGCTGAAGGAGAAAAAAGCAATTTCAACAGTTAGTGAAGAACTAAAGCCACAAAATATATGTACTTGCACTCTCCAACAGCATATATACATGAGCGTACACACACACATATATGTATGTATGTATATGTGTTGAAGTGTGACTTTTTCAACAGTATCCCACTTCAGACTTCCTGATCAATTTAATTGTTTAGCTTCATTCATTTCAGAGGCTCAAACAAATCTTAAAAATGTTCTGCAACACATTCAGCATTTTAATAAATATTGATCAAAGAGTTTTTGGGTGTATAATGCCAGATTGCCGGTGCCATGTTATCAGAACATGTATTCCTAAGCATATGATTATCAGGTGCATCCAGAAAGAAGACTTCAAAAACAAATATATATATATATATA